TCTCGTCACTTTTTTTTTTTTCTCATGTCACCTCGGGGGCTCCGTATGGGGGAGCTTGTGACATTATTTTTTTTTTTCACACTGTGATACTTCAGAAGCTCCTTGACGCTACCACTATGATTTAGGGCCACCCAAATAACCTGACTTGGTTTCACTCATGCCAAAAGTAACATTTACCACATCGTCCTGAGATTTGCCATCAGTAACCACCACAGCAATGCGGTTCTTGACCTGGCTGGCTCTTTGGGATGAGGAGAAGACGTGGTCCACAGCAAACTTGATGGCCCTGCCAGTCTGCAAAACAGTCAAAAAACAGTGCCATGATGTTGTGAGGAATCATATGTGTGAACTTGTAGGCTTCCAGCCATTGACAGCCCAAATTGCTGTCACACAAAACCTTTTTATCTCCATGGGAAAACAGGTGTGAATAGCATCAGATTACAAGAGGAAAAGCAGGCAAACTGTTTACCAACATGTAGAATGTCGAGTTCAAAGGGATGGAATATATATTTCTATTCTAAGAACAAGTGATGTAAAGCAAAGCAACCAAATTTAGCATGCCTGGATGTTTATTGACCATTTCTGTGCTCGTGGCCTTGCTGTGTGGTCATGTTGCTGCAGATGCACCTGTAGTGAGTGAACGTTGGCTCCTTGGACCTGCCTAAGTGCAGTCTGCCTCTCCATAACCACCCACAGCCTGCTCCACTTTATTAGTTTCTTGTTTTTGGATGGAGTACTGGAAGTAGTGAAGAAATTTTATAGGACATTTTATAGCACATTTTAGGAGTAAAGGCTGTTTTATTCTTCCACCGCTCCTCTGCAATGCAGGTGTCCCAATCAAAGCAGTAGGAGTCATTAGTGCAGCGAGCCGGGTGTGTATGGAACCAGTAATTATGGCCGTAGACGCACAAGAAAAATGTTGCTTGGGCAACTTTAGCGTGGTCTTGTGCACATCCTTGTAGAGCTTTCATCAGAAAAACTTCTGTGCAAGCCCCAACCAAGCCCAAACCACAGAAGCAGTTTTGGGCCTGAGGCTGATCCAAACCCAAATTTAATATAAATTATTAATAATGAATAATTTATTACAAGCTAAAGTAAACTACATTGTGCATTTTTCAGCGTAAATTATTAACAAAACTAATAAATAACAAAGTCACTCATTAAATACAGTTGCATGCATTATTAATTAAAAAAAAAATTTAAACGTAAGTCTGTCAGAACCTGGTTATGGCAGTTGCTTTGGGCCTCAGGCTTGATGACAGCACTGTCATTAAAAGTGACCTGACAAAAAATTGACATTATGAAAATAACAAGTGGAATGTTAATGCATTAAGTGTCCATGGGGAAAATCCTATAATGAAACAATGGACAGTGTATTCTACATCAGTTTTTTAATAATTATTTTCTCGCCCTCTTTAAAACTCCATGTTCTCCTTATTTTTTAATATCTATAGTGAAATTAATGTAATTTATTAGTTTTTAAAATTGTTAATTTTATGTGCATTTGACTTCCCCTAGGGACTTTACTTTACTTTTTTCATGACGGCGCAGTGGTCTACACACGCAGCACTCCTGCAGTTTCTTGACCTCTTAGCTTTGCCAGTCTGTGTGGCATTGGTTTATTATTCATATTCAGTGTGAACATACAGTGTTATAATAACACACAGTGTTGTATATTCTCATAATACCTGCATGCACATCAGTATTGATAGAGTTGTAAAGATAAAAAAAAACATGGTGTCCTGCCTGTGTGTTTCCTCCCAGGTACGTGATGCTCTGTATGGCCTGGATGAGCTCTGCTCCACCCTGGTGCTTCCCCAGAGAAATCTCCAGACGAGGAGTGTCACTGTACTGGATCACAGCCACCTACAGCAGACACAAACATAAACTAATGTAGGTGTATTGCAGATTTACTGATGCTCTGCAGCACTTATATGGCTGTTGTCAAACTGGCAACAGTGCTCTGGATTTAACAAGAGAAAATAATCAGATGTTAGTAATGAGACTGGCCATGAACAGACTATGTAAGCCTGATGGAAAATTGCTGTTAAATGCAAATGAAAATAACAATCTCACTCCATTCATGCTCAGCACATACAGTATAATATGGTTTATATTACCTGTGTGTAGTGGGAACTGATGTCAAATTGGCTAGTGATGTTGATAAGCCACTGCTTGGCAGTGTCGAAGTCAGAGAAGCCAACACTCCATGAGCCATCAACAATATAGACCAGGTCGTTTACAGCAGTGCTGCAGCCTACACAGGGATCAAAGAGAAGTACCATTAGGTTCAGACTCAAGAGGTCGGTATCTAACGCTGCTGTCATCTCAATGATGCACTTCGTTGGGGTCTATATAACAGGTAGTCCCTACCTGCTCGGACATCGTCCTCCTCTGCAGCCTCCAGGGGGGTCAGTAGCAATATTGCACTCCATACTGACCACAGCAACATGGCTTCGTAGGAGAGCAGCCTACCTAGGTCGAGTCCAACCTGGCTAAATGAATGTGTGAAACAACAAGGGTGTTAACGATGAGCTTTTTCTCCTCCTATCAGGCCAGAATGACCTACACTTTAGTCCATAACGATATATCTTTAAGTAAAGGCCAGAATTTAAAGATCCCCTACAGACGTGTTTTATGACATACACAAAAAATGCATTTTTGAGTGGAGGGGGACTTTAATGAAATTCGCTGTGGATATTCATCACACCTAGATGATGGCCCCTAAATATGTTTTCTAACCCCCTGGCCTTTTTTTCTAGCACCACCATCAAAATGTCCACTTGTACAGGAAAGATATTCTAATCTAACTGGCAGGTCGCCACCACATTTACATTCATGGTCCCAACAGATCCTGCTGAGGCTATAATGTCTGCATTGCATTACACATCTCATGAAATTAACTGAACACATTCTTCTTCCGAAAGGAAATCAACTCTTTTTACTCTTCTGATCCATGGTGCCACCCTCATTTCCATATTTCATCCCCACTAGTGGTAAGGCTCTACAAATAGCTAAATCATGGCCTTTTGTTTATTCCTTCCCACACTTTGGATGCCCTGGGTGTAATATGCATCATGTCCTCTAGGGGCCACTAGGGAGGCTTCAGACTTAAAGCCTGACACTGAAATAAATACCTATAAATCAGTCAGCCGATCTTTGCAGCTTTGCAGCTTCCATTTCAACTCTGAGTAAATACAAAAAACAAAACTGTGACTGTGTGTTGACTCCTTGTGTGTAAATGCTGCATCTCAATGCATTTCATTTTTAACATCTTTCCTTATCTGCGTGATCTTAATGTTTCTTCTGATGTGGAAATGCATAAAGGAATATGCAAATTGGTTCCTAGTTAAGTTCCAGAGTTTTCACTTCCCACAGGAACTAAGGAGTATTTGGTTAGAGAGGGCCTTTAGAGTGTAATTCAACACCAAGCTGAAAATTGTTTTAGTTGAACTCAGTTTAAGTCAAACCTTGCACCTGTAACGTCAGAGTGTATTTAACACACTTCTACCACGGCTTGAGGTCACCCAGAACAAGACTGCTGGTGACTTTGTACTCCATAATACAAATGTATACACACACATTACAATACAGTATGTATGTGTTTCCAGGAATTAGAAGGGCTCTTTCCAACAGTCCATAAAAAGTCTAATAAATAGACTGTGTTGTAATGTTGAGTTGGCACATGTATATGATATATGGCTTGAGAAAGACATTTGACTGCCTTGTGAAATCACCACATCTCTCTTTTCCTCTTCTCTGTCCCCACTGTTCTCCTCTCCTCCTCCTCTTCCCCGTGAAATGCTTTTGTGAGTTCTCATGTTGTGCCATGCGACATATGGTCTAGTAGCGTGTTTTCTCTCCCTGTGTTCATTTTGCAGCGCAAACATGGTTCCGCCGACCACAAGGCTGGGCCGGAGAAAATAACAACGTGAGCGCTGAGATGCTGGGATGGGAAAACAGAAGTATAAACACGGCAGAGCGGGCTGCAGTGCGCTGGCAGAGGATTTAAAGATGGGGGAGGATCAGTCAGCTGAAGAGAGTGCAGCTACCACAACACTTCTTTTACAGTCTCCTCCCAGCTCCCCTAACCCTTTTTCTCTTTCTCTTTTGTTTGACTTGCCATTATAGAACCATATTACACCAAGATACTTCCAGTTGTGACTTTCTGTCATATTTGCTGAATCTTTCACTATATCCTGACAGTAGTACATGAGGCAGATAAACTGTGAAAAAACAGACCCGGTGGATTAATACAAATACCATTAGGAGCACTAGGAAGAGCCAGAGGAACCTGAATTTTTCCCACACTATCTGTCTCCTGTATTACTGTCAGGATAAAGTGAAAGTTTCAGCAAATTTATTATATTATAAAAAAGTTATTTCTATAAAAGTTACCGACTACAGCTTTAAATGTTTCTTCAAACAATTGGTAAAACCATGCCAGTGTTATATAACTGATATAGCTATAGCTAATGTTTTTTGCATTACTGCCTACATGTGAAGAATGAATCTCTAACACAGACTAATAAAGTTACAGAATAAAGGCATTACAGTGAGCACATGAAGACAACAAGCGGGCAAACTTTAAGGGCCCCACAAGGGCTAAATGTGGACTGTCGTATAAGTGTGCACTATACGAGAGCCGTATGTGCTCAATAACATGGCTCCCACATGGGCATACATGGGCCTCTACTGGGTTACATGTGGGGAAAGTGAAAGTTTTTGACAAGTGGCAATCTCCGTGGCCGGCAAAAGAAGCCAACATGGAAGTGACAAAAACTGCAGTTCCTCAAACGGCCACTTAAGGCTGGCTCCAGAAGTGGGTCAATCTCCATAGGGCCCCATATCAAAACATGTTTACAGCCTGGTACAAAAAATTATATTGGTCTCTATAGCTAATTTCCCCATTCATGCCCACTGTAACACCACTGGGGTACATTTTATATAACTGACTCGTTTTAATTACATTAAGGATTAAAGTTATGCATAATTAAGAGCATAACTGCTTTGAGTGACAGGTGGGTGTCATCACAGTCAGCTCTTATCAGTAACCAGGCTTGATTTGGTCCACCCCAGCTCCACCCCTTTTTTCCATTTGTGGATTAGCCAGGAGGTGGCCGAGTCAGGACTGCCAAGATGGTGACGGCCAGAGTTGACCGGCTCTTCAGAAACCTATGAGTGACATCACAGAGACTATCCATTTTTTATTAGGCAATCTATGGTTTTCGAGGGTCCCTTTTAATAATCATTGCTTTAAAGGACCATTGTGTATGATGTAGTGGCATCTGGCAGTGTGACTGCAGATTGCAACTCCCTTGCTTCACCCTCCCCTTTCAAGCACAGAGTAGAACTAAAGTGGCTGCTAAATGCCTGAAAAAAGAGAACCCTTCTATCTAGAGCCAGTGTGTGGCTACTGTAGAAACAAAGCGGTTCAACATGGCGGACTCAATGGAAGGGGACCCACAGTCCCTGTAGATATAAAAGCTCAATCTAAGGTCATAAAAACACAGCTATTCTTATTTTCAGCTCATTATACATTAATAAAAACATCTGCCAGTAGATCCTCTTTTGTGTTACACATTGGACCTTTAATGTGGGCCAATTTCACTAAGACATATGTAAGTTACTGCTATAGAGATCAAGAAGGGAGCCCTGGACCCTCTTTACTAGTGTTGCTTAACAGCTTGAATAATGGGTGTGATTATTGACAATGTCTTCAGATTGACTGGCTTTTAGTTTGCCCTTTAAATTGATGGAAAACCAACCACCACACCCTCACATTCTTTATTTAGAGTTCATGTTTGCCAGACATTTTTTTTTTTCAGACCGCTTGTCTACTGCTGCCTCCTGTTTGGCTAAAACAACTGTTAATGTGTATTTCCCTCTTTGTCTCTCACTCTCTTATCTTGTTAAAGGCCCTGGGTTCCCCCACAAAGGTGTTTTCACTTACTGTACTGTGTGGGCGTGCACAGACTATGCTTGATTAACATCTCTCTGACCCTCCTATTAGTTTAGTTTAGCTTGCACCTGTTCAGGTGACAGACTTACACCTTCATCATTCTCGTTGGTTCAAGTAGGTCTGTTCACCTCATGTAAAACCTGAGCAGAGGAATCAGCAAGAATGCATGAAAACAAAAGGGAGAGCTAATGCTATTAGAGCGATGCTCTTTGCAGTGGAATCAATGTACAGCTATATACTTGATGCCATTTAAGACAAGAAGAAAACTAAGATGAGAGCAGCAATGTGACTGCGTGAATTATGTCGCTATGGTGAAGTGGAGCCACCATTTGTGTTTATTAACCCTTTACCATGAGCTGACATAAGGACAAAACGTGACAGTTTTCCTACAATTCCTAAAATGGACACACTTAGATGCAATGACCATTAAAGGCGAATGTTTTCACCTGCTGTCCGACTAATAATAATTGTGTGCAACTTTTATTTAGATGGAATATAAAAATAGGTGCCTGTCGCATGTGTGTACTGAAAATAATAAAAATACCTCAATTTTTACTGCTTATTCAGGGCATTTTCTACCATTTTTGGAAAAACCCATAGTCCCATGTGCAAAGACTAAATATAGTATGATAAGAAAAACCTATTTTTCAGCCAAACGATTTGACTGAGTATAAAAATTTCTTCAGATTTGTTTGTTGTTGTTTGGAAGTTCAACATTTCAGTTGCAGGGATAAATGGATTAAAATAAAACAAACTGTCAACTGTCAAACCAAACTCCATTCTAAAAACAGGTGTTTTATGGTGGGTTCAACCATCACAAAGACTTTATTGATTCACTTCAATCAGCACATATGTCATTTACTAAAATCATTAATGAACCTGTGATTGTTTGCCACAGACGGACACATACTGACTGCCCGGGTAAAACAGTTTACCCTTTTTATCCTCAGATGACCTAAAGCCACACATCTCTTCTTTTACTGTTCATGGTTCTTTGGGGAAGTAAAGACATTCGTGAACTGTGTTGTGTTTTTTATTATTATTTGATGCGTGAAATTTGATGTAGCAGTTTTTAGGCGTGTGCTACTAAACACTTTTATAGCTCTTGTTTCACTTAAAAGGGGGGAGTCATTCTGAAGACAAGAAAGTGACTTATGGCTGCTCTCATCTGTCCCTTGTTAATGCGGTCAGCAAAACTGTATTTTAAAAGGGTGAACAAAATATAATGAATATAAATAGGGGTAAAAATATACATGTATTTGACCTTGTTTTAAGAAAACAACAGTTAACATTTAAAATTATAGCGCTCAAAGCAGTCAACAAATCCACAAAGTCACAACAGACCTTTCTTTTAGCAGACATTTTAAACTGTCAAACATAAAGGTGTAACTAATAGCATTCTGTGACAGCAGAATTCTGTTCAGGTTTTTCAAGGTAGACTCTCATTTTAGTGCTGCAGCTCTTTATGCTGGTTCATTGGCATGGTTCTA